AATTTCTTCCGTAAAATTTAGTGTTTCTGTGGGCCGATTTGCCCATCTTCGAAATTAACCTTCTTATGGAGCCAAGAAATACGTGTACCAAGTTTCATCATGATATCTCAATTTTTACTCAAGTTACGGCTTGCACGCACGGACGGACAGATGGACGGACAGACGAACGGACGGACAGACAGACATCCGGATTTCAACTCTACTCGTCACCCCGGTCACTTTGGTATATATAACCCTATATCTGACTCTTTTAGTTTTAGGACTTACAAACAACCGTTATATGAACAAAACTATAATACTCTTTTTACCAACTTTGTTGCGAGAGTATAAAAAACGCTTTATTTTGAAATTTTAGTAGAAAAAAGGAAAGATAGTCACGCAAGTCAAAAATGAAATTTGTGTAGTTTACGGACACGATGCTATATCAGTTCGTGTAGAACAGCAATGGTTGGTTTGCTTCCGTTCTGGAAATTTCGAAATTTCGATTTACACTGATGGAATAATGTCTCTAGCAGAAAAATCGMAAAAAGTGGTCGACCAAAATGGTCCATATTTGTTTATTTATTTATTAGTATAAATATAAAAACTAAGATGAAGTTTGCTGGAAATACGAAAGATCTTTTTCTACTACCCAAAATGTTCGAAAAAAAATTAAATTCGCGCATAACATATTGGAGAAAAAAAAACACAAATAGTACTTTCTGTGTATATGAAGATGATATCGTATGAAGAAAACTATTCCATATTATTGTATGGCTCCAGAAATACAATACGAACCAATTTTTATGAAAACCTTAAAACATCTTTTCCAGGAAATAATTAATAAAATGCTATAAGATAATGCTACCATCCCCTAGTCCCAATATATCCGATGTAGTAATTTTCGACTTTTCATTTGACTTCAATTCTATTACACAAATCTTCTAAATCAAATACAAAATTTAATCTAAATACGAATGAATCCGGTCTAGACCTTGGTCTTAACTTCATACTTCTTATATAGTAAATTTAGACCTTTTTGCCAACATTATTCGAACAAAAGTTGAAGTATTTCAAATCTACAATTTAGGCGCAAGATAGTTAAAATAAAGCAAATAATTGAATATTAAGAATTTGATAACCGCGTTAAACCATTTCCCGCAACGAAGTCATCGGAATAGCAATGGTAAAGAAATAGTAAAGCAATTAATCATGATCAAAACAGTAAGCAGCAACGGCTCTTAAAGTAAATTTACTTGTATACACCAACTACTCAAATCAGCAAACGTTTTATTCGAAGAAATTTATTTCCAAAACTAATAGATCGCAACCAAATTTGGCTCAGTTCAGCGTGACTTCAACGCGAGTTCTCAAGATTTCTATGTTTAAAGTATTAATAATACTACTTAAGAGACTACTCAGAACCCATTTCGTTAAGAAGAAATTAATATGTGAAGTGATACATATTTTTATACTCTCGCAACAAAGTTGCTAAGGTGAGTATTATAGTTTTGTTCACAAAACGGTTGTTTGTAAGTCGTAAAACTACAGGAGGATATATACCAAAATGATCAGGTTGGCGAGTAGAATTGAAATCCGGATGTCTGTCTGTCCSTCCGTCCGTGCAAGCTGTAACTTGAGTAAAAATTGAGATATCATGATGTTCGCAGATGGGCGTAATCGGACCACTACCACGCGATCAAAACGCCATTAACCGAAATCCTATAACGTGTCATAACTAAGCACTAAGTTAAGATATAAAAATGATTTAACACAGGGGATCGCAATAGCACTAAGTACCTGTGGGCAAACTATTTTAAAAAAGTGGTCGTGACCACCCCACTAAAAAGTTTAATGTATGAATTTCTTAAACCACTAGATCTATAAACAACCAAATTTCTTTATAGCAGATATTATAACCCCTGTCGACGGTGTGAAAATGGATGAAATCGGAAGGTAACCCCGCTCACTGTCCATATACTGTTAAAAATTACTAAAAGCGCAGTAAATCAGTAACTAAATATGACAGAGACATTAAATTTTACACCCTTGATGATATAGGAAAGCTATATGTGAGCTGGTGTGAAATTTGGACGATGGGCGTGGCATTGCCTACTTTTTGGTGAAATCACATATCTTGGAACTCGATCGACCGTTTTCGACTAGATTTAATACGTGGTATTCTTCTTATAATGCTATAACAAAACTTTAAATTCTGTTTGATTCTTTTACCTTTTACCTTCCAGTACACAGTCATTAATATAGTCGAATAAAATTTACTTATTATATAATTATTTTATATCTTATTACCGAAAATTGTCCAAATCCAACCAAAACTGTTCGAACCCCAAGGTACCGAATATGTGGACCCCAGTACCTATAGTCGACTTTTGACCAAAAATACCGGTCAATGTGTGAGATATTTAGTTGAAATTCAGAGAGAGTGCTTTCCTGACAATGATATCTTTGTGTATGAAAAATGAGTTGAAGTGAGTCAATAGTTCCCTAAGCACGCATATATTATACTTACCTCATATGAAAATTTTCGAACTTCCAGCTGACTTTATGCTAGATATATCGACCAATGTTTGAGTTATCTCAATGAAAATTACGGAACATGAGTTGCTCATAACAGTATATATTTGTGGCAAAAACTGGGCTAAAACTTAACCTAGCCCCCAAATAACTATTATCAGGGTTTTCGATAACTTAATGAAACCCAAGGAACATTTTTTTACTCGTAGTATGTCTATCCACCAATGTTTCAGAGTACCAAGCCTAATACTTATATAGCATATTATTGTAGTATGTCTATCCACCAATGTTTCAGAGTACCAAGCCTAATACTTATATAGCATATTATTGTAGTATCAACCAGAAAAATATATATGTATGTATGTAAGTTAATATTCGGTACACCACCATAATATTCTCAACCAATTTTATTAATACTTATATACTAAGTGTACCAATTTCAACATTACCCTCATTGCTGTCAGTTTTGTTACGGTATATAGAGGATGTTCTCGATATCGAAAACAAATTTGTGAAGTTTACGGAGACGATGATCGGACCGTGTAGCACAACAATGTTTCGTTTGCTTCCGTTCTGAAATTTTTGATTTACACTGACGAAAGTTTTACCCTGATGGAATAGTGGTAATGTTTATTTTCCTTTATTTATTAGTATAAATATAAAAAAAAAAAATAAGTTGAAGTTTGATTAGAAATACGAAAAGTCTTTTCGACTACCCAATATTTAGGGATAGAAGGAAACGAAAAGACAGACGAGTTGACCCGTTCAGCTATTTGAAAGGTTGTTTGAAGCAATATATGTATAATTAAGGAACAGGTCTTGGAAAACTAGCATCACACGGCATACCACAAAATAACTTTGGACTCCTACCTTTAGGGACTCACCTTCAGAAAAAGGAAAAGTGGATTCGACAGAATGCACAGCATCCGCTGAAGATGATGGGACACTGAAACATTACTTTTGAGAATACTCTACCTTCAGAAGGATGAGACGGGATATATCCACGACATCCAATGCTTAAGAGACGTCTTTTTTGTTTTTAACTTACTTTTTCTATCTCGTGTATGTACAGCATGGTCGTATAATGATAAAATAGCACCGCCAAGAGCATGAAATTGTAGTTATTTCCAACAAAATGTGCAAAACATTTTCCGTTTTTATACTCTTGCAACCAGTTGCTACACAGTATTATAGCTTTGTTCACCTAACGGTCGTATGTATCATTTAAAAGTAATCATAGGGTTATGTATATAAAAATTATTATGACGACGAGAAAAGTTTATATACGGTTGACTGTCTGTCTGTCCGTCTGTCGGTCCGTCAGTGCAAGCTGTAACTTGAGTAAAGATTGAGATACCTCAATCTTGATGAAACTTGATGTGTGAGTTCCTTAGTACAAGTAAAAATTAACCAAAAACATATAAAGCACTATAATTATAACATAAAGCCGTAATTTAGTATAGAGGAACGCAGTAGCCAGGGGCATTTGTGGTCAAAATTTTTTTAAAAAGAGAGCGTGGCCCCGCGCTCTAACAAGTTTAATGTATATATCTCCTAAACCACTTAAGCTACAACAAGCAAATTTGCTGAATGCAAATCTTATAAGAACTTCTTTCGACAGTGTGAAAAAGAATGAAATCGGAGGATAACCCCGCTCACTCCCTATATAACGATACTGTTAAAAACTTCGCGCGATAAATAAATAACTAAATACGCCAGAGACATTAAATATTACCACCGATATGGTATAAGAGAGCTTATTGAGAGCCGGTGTGAAAATTGGACGATGTGTAATGTTAGAAATGGGTTGAATGGGACCAATACTTCCCTTAGCCCCTATATACTTAAGATTTTCCAACTTCGGGGTGACTTTATATCGCATATGGTGGCTAATATGTGAGTTATCAATGAAAATGAGAGAGGGAATTTAGCTCATAACAGTGTATTTTTGTGCCTAGCCCCTATATAACTATTATCAAAATTTTTAGACATCCGACTGACTTCACTCCATATGATTGGTTTTAGACCTTAAAGTATTTACCTGGCTTTGATTCTTGCAAGTTACAAGAGCATAAAGTTCTCGGTTGCACCCGAACTTAGCTCTTCCTTACTTGTTTATATATGTATTCGTACTCACCTTTTTGCTCTTTTATTGAAAAGGAATGTCTGCATTTACAGTCAATTAGTTAGCTTTTCATATTTATTTATTTTATTGAGCAATAACATAAATTAATACATTTAAGATTATTAAAATCTGTTTATAATACGTAATAAATAAATTACTAAAATTACCGTATATTTCTTTTGTTTTCTAGTTTTTGGTTTTTCACTCTCAGATTAATTACTTTAATATTAGTTCTACTATATTTTAAATCGGTTTACAAATTTTTAACTTTTTTAAGTCAATGACGGAGAATATTTAAAATTTTCAACCATTGAAATCAAAGTGAGCTTCTACATTGCTCTAGGGGTGCTCTCATAGTGTGATATATTTAGTATCTGTGCATAAAACGTTTCAATAACATTTGAAGTCTGCAATTGTATATGTGAATACCAAACGTTAAAATTGTATCTCCTCTATTACATTATATTATATAATAAATTTTTAAAGTCTATTTTGATTATGGTTTTGATATTGTTGGGTTGATGTAATAAAATTACTTTTATTTTTAACGTTTCAATGCCGTTCTCAAGTTCTCATTTTCCAATTTTTCGCAAATTTTTATACATAGTATCAATAAATGTAGTTTATATTGTAGTTATTTCTAATTAATTAATGCATATGTTAATTTTTAGTTTAATTTGACTAGCACAAGTACTTTTTCTTCGGTTTCATCATGCGAATGCGTCATTTGGAGCTGATCCCGTTCGCCACGAGTGAACTGGGTGGCGCAACACTACCGCTGCCTGAGTTCTGCGGCTGCGGGACTTGAGACGTTGACTGTGATGACTGCAGCTGATTGGGCGGAGATCTTGAGATAGAGCCGCGCATGTTCGCCGTAAGTGGGATCCCCTGGGACACGCTGTGTTTAGCAGAAAGGTCAGATGATCGCGTGGTGCCGCAAATCTATCAAATAGCATAAAACACGTAAAAAATACAGTTAAAATATCATATGTATAGTCCAAAGTAGTTTATTGGTCCTACATAGGTTTTACAATTACCTGGTGGTGGTGTTCCCAATCCTTGTGCTGGCAGAAAGCGCCACAATAACGGGCTAAATTGCAGCCAGAACAAGTTTCGGTTGCTTTACGTCCACAATTCCAGCAAGCCTTAACAAAAATAATAATATGCATAGGTTATAATGAATTAAAGTCTTTCAAATATTAATTCAATTAATTTACATTTTGCCCGGCTGTAATCGACGGAGACTTGTTGTCCAATTCACGTTCGGCTGGCACCGTTGCTGCTGCCACACCTGCGATAGCTGCACTGGAATTGTGGATACCGCCTGAATGGCGACTCATCTCGACGAAAAACTTTTCCATGCGCAAGCGTTCCTGTGACATCACTTCTGATGCGCGGGTTTCAGCTGCTACCACTGCGCGCTGTATTTCAATCACCGCCTGACGTTTCACCTAAAACAAAAAAAGAATATTTCGGTTCAACTGAGAGATCAGCTAAGGCGTATGCATTTACCTGGTTGACTGCTTCCTCGGCATTTCGTTTGAACTCAGCGACCTTCTCTTCAGTCTGACGTCGTATTTCGGCCAATGATGCTGGTGTGACTTCGCTGTAGTTGGGCTGTTGTGGCTCTACGCCCCGCTGTTGCAATATGGTAATTGCCCGTTTTGTCTTATCTACCATTGCCGAGATACAGTTCAACATGGTGTGTATATTCTTCCATTCCTCTTCGCCTCCAAGTGTGGTATTGACACTGCCAGCAGCACCCCCACTAGTGTTTGCGCTTGGGGGACCAGTCCGTGAAGGGTGTCGTTGCGCTGCATTTTCAGCAACGATATTAACTCGCAGATCACGATCTTCCCTGTGATTTGCCTATAGATTAATACAGACATGTTACGACTAGCATTTCGAACAAAATTCAACTAAATGCGCAACATTACCTTCTCCATAAGACTGTTGAAGTTATTCTCGGATTGCGTTACTGCTGACGTGCTACTAGCTGCAGCCGAGTAATCAAAAACGGTTGGTTGGCTGGTAAATGCAAGACGTGCATCGGCCGATGCGGCGCTTAAGTGAGCCGAATGTGCGTGTAAAGCACGCTTGGCAGGCGGATAAGTGGCCATATAATCATTCCAGTCTTGTATTCCATTGTGGTGTTCCATCAGAGTGTCCGAAGCTCGCCGCTTAAAGACGAGGCTGGTAGTACCGGCGCTGTTGGACGCTGTGGCTTGGGCAACGGCTGCTGCTGCTGCAGCCTGCGCAGCATCCATATGTATGAACATGTCACTGTATTCCGCAGATGGTCCGTGTGGAGAAAACTCCATTACAACATTCTCATTCGTGGTAACGTATTGTAGTGTAGTCTAAAGGTGCGCAATCAAACAATTATAATCAAGTGAGTGAGATTCCTAGATGTTTATAAACTATACAAGCAACTAACTCTTACCTGATTACTGGCACGAGCTAATTCGGAAATCTCGCGTTGCAGCAGGGAAATATGACTTTTGAGTAATGGAATGACATACGGGCGCAATGGCAAATTGATGGCATCTTGCAGCGTTAGGCGGAACTCATCAATGCTTATACCTCCACTGACCAGTGAAAGCACTAGCGCACGTACACGATCGCTCACTTCGGGATGAATCTCTTGCGCTAACTGTACCAGAGAACCAAGGAATTTACGTATCTTACTGAGTAGTCGTGCCTGCTCAGCATGCACTGCAGCTGCAGCAGCGGCCGCGGCCAGTGCCGCTTGTGTAGGTGGTGTGGGGAGTGGAGGCGGTGATGTGGTGGTCGTAGCTCCATTCACTACCGGTGAGGCGCTGGCATTACGATTCGGTCGTGGTGGTGGTGGGGCCAGGCTTGAATGATGCAGTTGTGGTGACATAGGTGAACGTGGTGCAATAGCACGTGCGCTCTCCGGGGAGTCGGGGGTGCGGCAACTGCGCGCTCCGTTAGCGTTTGGATTCGTACAAGTCGAACTAGAGTTGCTCACCCCACTGCTACCACTTGCACCAGTGCAGCCGTTAGTTTGCGACGAGTTATTGCTGTTGCTCGAATCCTTGCCGGAAGAAGAGTTGGAGGAAGAATTTGCTGCAATATGGAACGAAGAGCCGAAATTGTAAATGAATAAGCATTGTTGTAATTAGCGTGTGGTAGATGTGTTCTATTTGGACAAGTGTGCCGCAAGCACCGCAACATCAACATAAGGTTAACGCTTGTTAAGGGCAACAACGTTTCGCTGCTCAACTACCAACCGAAAATTTTACGAAATGTAGCCAACGGCTGTAGCGTGACCACCAATGCTGGTCAAATATGTGGGTGTAAGGGGCGAGCGCTGCCTGTGGTAGTGATTTTTCTTCCAGGCGGGTTGTCATGTTCAAAATATGTAGCACCTGAAACACGCAGTTGCCATTGTCATGTCCGTCCAACCGTACCTCCAGTGTTGTGCCATGGCGTTCGTGTGTTTGCGCAACCGCAAATGCCGAGATTTGTGTTACATTGCTTCTGTCACTGACGCTCAGATATGCTGTGTTTCGACTGCTGTTGCTACTGTAGCTGACCCGAAGGATAAATGCGTTGCTGTCTGGTAGTGCATCGAAAGGACATGTCAGCAGCCGACACATCATAAATGCATTAGCTGCAACATGAAGAAGGCATTTCGCTTTGTTGCTTTGCAGCCTTGCAGCCTTGCCCATTGTTGTATTGGCCATTCATGTACAAACATAATATAATTCTAGCCACCTCTCGCTTCGGTCATCTGCCCCTGCTCCAGCAGCAGAGGCTCGAGGGCAACTGACCAATGTCACAGTATGTCCTGCAAGGTTTCCACACATTGGGAATTGTGCTTTTGTAGAATATGGCGTGCCACACGAGCATGAGGAAGTTTTGGCCGGCCATTAACCGTTATACGTTGGGACAAGGGGCAGCAGGCAACGGGCAACTTCGGTGTGGTGTGGCATTACCGAACATGGCAAATAAATTAGTAACATTCTGGACAAATTGCACTTGCACACGAGTTTTTCTCATCGCTCGTGTTCTTGTTGCAATTGCTGTCATTCTCGTTTGTCGATGATTCTGCCGTACTGCTGTTGGTTGTTGGTGATGGTGTTGAAAGCGCAAACACGTGTTTCAACATTTGTTGCCAAATACATGATTGCATTTTGCTGCCACATGTACGGACATGGAAAACTTTAAAGAATTTGCAGCTACAACAATTAACTCAAGTTTAACATAAAAACAGGGAGTGGAAATGACCGTGTTTGAATATATATTAAATTCACATTCCTATATTGCCTACAGGGTTCGCTGAAAAAATCAGCACTAGTTACTGAGATATAATGTACACAATTATTTAATATTTAGCTAGGCAGCTAATTTCTCTTTTTCAAAGTCGCACATTTATGTTCGATTGATGTCCGACGAAATTTTATTATTTTTAGTGTTCAAATGTAATTCCGTTATAAAATGTAAATTTTTGATCACATTTATATAGACATACATATATTACATATAGAGTAAAAATTAGAAAAAACGTTAACTTTGGCTGTAGAAAAGCTATGATACCCTTCGCAAGTGCATATTTTATAAAATACACATTTTTTTTTTATTTGGATTTGTCAGTTTATATCGAATCTATGTGCTATAGTTTCTTTAGAATTATAGTAACGCCTTGGATTATATATACACATATACATATATATGTATATATTCCATGCCGTGAAGATATCTTGTTAAATAAAAAAGTTTTCCAAAAGATATTAAATAAATAAGAGAGCTGGCGAGGCAACGATATTGATAGGACATTTTATATAAAGTGATGGACAAACTTGTATAAATAAAATAACTGATGGAAACAATGATGGCATTGTTAGAACGAAACATGATCCATCATACTCGTCGACATTCAACCCTTCAACTTGATTTTGTGTGTGCATGTGTCGATTGCACATCAGAGCCCACCTGCTGCCTTGATGTACGCATAGACACCACATCAACCCTTTCCCACAATCGGAATGGACGAGAGTGTATCTGTTCAAATAATGTTATGTCCATAAGACGGATATACCAGATATGGTTGGCGCGCTCAATCGCTCCCATGGTCGGCAGAAAATAATTTGCTGTACAAACAAACCAAATCGAGATAAACGAAGCGTGCTAAAACAACAATAGCTGCAACAATAACGAGAAGCGTGCAAACAAAAGGGAACTGAGAAAGAGACACAGGATAAATTCGGAAAGCGTGCAGCGACATACGCCAAAAAAATTGAATGATGACATGTCACAAAACTGAGAATATTGGGTGTTAAAGACGCGTCACCTCACATAAAGGAAAAGCTAAATTTTTACAGCTAACATGCGGAATAAACTGTTTGACTGGGCTCTTGTAACAAATTTTTGTTTTAGAACTACTTCTTTCTTACAAACATCTATCTAAATTTTGGGTATTCAGCAGCTTTAACATAACATGTGGTGCTTATAATTTGAACTCGCCGATTTAAATTCGATAGCACAGCTATATACAAGGTACGTTCCAAAGTAAGAGAAAAACAGAAAAAATGGTTTTTTCGGCAAAATAAATTTATTTTATTCAAAATAGTCTCCTTCAGCTTCAATACAGCTTTTTGTGAAGGAATTTTTTGTCCTTTTTGACCACGTTAATGATTTCCTTCGAATGTTGGATTCTGAGCAATTTTTGGTCGTCAGTCAATTTGTGCGGAACAAACCGTGCTCACACCTTTCATAAGCCCAAATTTTCGGTCAAAATGCTATAAAACGATGTTTTGTAGATGTTCAATTCCATTTCCAGAATTCCAAATATGATTTCGGCTGATTTTTGGTGAATTCACATACAGTTCTCTGGAATTTCCGGTGATTACGGATTTGAGTCCTCACGACCACTTTGAAAACGTTGAAACCACTCATTCACTCTGCTACTGGATAGGCAATCATCGCCATAAGCTTGTTTCATCAATTGAAACCTTTCGCTAGAAGTTTTACCAATTTTAAAACAAAATTTAATGCTGCCTCTTTGTTCGAAGCTCATTTTAGCACCGATAACACAAACATCCTGACACTTAAAACGCAATAATTTCACTCGCAACCGATGAAATGTCATGAAATTCTCACTGAACAATCGATAAAGATATCAGATTCACACGCAGCAGTAGCCATATAGATAGTCTAACTTTGGAACTCATTTTGTATGGACATATGTACATAAGTTATAATTTACTTAAAAAAAGAACCGAAGTTTTATATCTTACCGGCATGAAAATATACTTAAATCTAATTATGATTGTAGTCATTTATGTGAGACTCTAATGAAAAATTCTATCAAAATGAAAATTCTCTACAGAAAACTCTGAACTAACTACTTTGAATTTGTCTCTCTGTAAAACCAATAGATGAACATTTAAATTAGCCAAACTCAACTATCACATGTTCAATGTATTATCGTACAATACATCTTACTTACTATAGGGCGACTCCTCTCCGAAGATTTTACACTCACACATTTGTAGTGTCTCACAAGCGAGCGGGTATGTAAACACTACGAGCTACTACTGCTGCCATTATCAATATTTACCTGAGCAACAATGACTATGTCGGAGTAAGTGATGTTGCAGCTGAATCCACAAATTATTATCGCAAAAGCAAACTCCCACATTCGAGAGATACGCATATAACGGCGATTGAAGTAAGGAACTGTCATCAGCTCTGCCGAACACTACCTTGTCATCCTTATAAATGTATGTATGTATGTAAAGGTCATAGCTATACATATGAACGTTTAACTGTAAGCTGCGATAGCTGGTCGACTTGCAACGCACTCGCATACAAATACACACAGAAAATATTGTCCCGTTAGCCAGTTTCATTGGCAGCATCGTTATCGGTCCCGCACGAATACGCAAACAATCCTGCCCACTCGACCGTAAGCAAACTTGAACAAACACCTGTTTGAGAAGCGTACACAACTACAAACACAGCTAAAGTTAGAAGAATTTCCATTATACCGAGCAAACAAGATGAATGATGATGGTTAGGGTGATTTCCCCGTTTGTTAGTCAGGAAGGTGCATTGCGGCAATTCTCATGGAGATGCTTTGAGACGATGGGCATTTTTCAAAAAATGCGGAGAGTTTGATATTTTATTAAAGTTTGACAAGCCAGCTATTTCCGAAGGGTATTTACCGCCATTATGTGTTAAAACGTTATTTAGGAATGGGATTTCAAAAGAACTTTTTTCCTATTGTGAATATTTTTTGACGTAGCTTTCGTGACAGTTACGCGTTGTTTTAGCCTCATATTTATTCGGGTTGTTTAATTGGTTTTGAATGAATGCTTTTTGTAAACGCCGTCAATTACTCGCATGCTCTCTTTAATATTGAACCCACTCTTACATCCTGAATTTGTGTATCTAACAACAAGAAAAACAAGCCCCTTTAAAATTCGTTATGTATTCAATGCTTTAAGAAATGTGTACATTTGTTTTCAATGGCTCAAGTCCTCTCAACAACTTTATTGTTTCATAAAATTCTGAGTAGTTTTTGAAAATTATGTACACATCTAACACTTCTTTCAAATAGTTGGTATAAAATACAGTGTACACAGGAGTGGTATTTATTCTGTGTGCCATTATGAATGGTGTGCACCCATGAATACACCGGCAGAAATATCACCGTTTAAAACATTTAAAACTCAGTAAATGTTTACTAAAGTATATTATCGAAACAGGGTTGTTTTTATTTGCTTATAATGATTAAACAGCTTTCCAAAAAACAATTTTTGACATTTATATCTTTGCAAATTTTGATGCTTTCAAGTGTCCAGATAGCGAATTTATTCATTAAAGTATTAAATATGCTGTTATTCTCATGATATTTGCAATTCTTATATTTTGAAAAATTTTAGGCTTATCAGCATTAGTATCTATTTTAAGGACCCTTTCACCCTTTTTCTCGCATAAAAGCTTCAAGTGATTCCCACTCTAAGTTTCTTTACGGAAAATATGCGGAAGGTTTGAAGGTACAGTATACTAAATGCCCAGTTTTTCTCAATGAAAATCTCTCTTTGAGTTTCAAAAGTAAT